AATTTTACGGTTTTTTTATAGTTAAAATCGCTTTTCCTTCAAGAATATTTTGTTGAAAATTCACGGATAACTTTAAATAAATGTCAGTTACATGTGCAATTTCTAATAATTATAAAGTAACAGAAGTTAAGAAATATATATACATATAAATATAGTGTTGAATAATCAGAATTTATATAACTATAGTTTTCTTATAAAAAATGTCAAATCTATTACTGACAATGAGACACCTTTAAAATATCATATTCGAGACCATGATCAGAAGAATTTTGGAAGTTCATTTACCATAGAGTTACCACAAACTGTGAAGATGTTGACACCAACAATTAGTAAATATATGTCATTTTTATACAATAAAGTTCTAAATCTTCGAATTTTTCTCGAATATTTAACTTTAGTTTGTTAACATCGGAGCGAGTTGCTCTTCACTTGACATACGCCTAATTTCTAAGGTCAGAAGCACATGAAATGCATAACAAAGCATAAGCATAACATAAGACAGCTGGACCAATGAGAATCTTACGTAAATCAATATAGCGACATTATGCTGACTGCATTAATCCAGATATGTTGAGGATGTAAAGACACAATATATATTTGCTTGAAATAATGAATTAAGTAACGATTTTTAATTCGTTCGGCGATCGATGATCTTATCAGTACCAATCTTAGAGGAATCTACGCCTCAGTTTTGGGTAGAATGCACGTCTTCAATCGAGAGAGAGAGAGAGAGAGAGAGAGAGAGAGAGAGAGAGAGAGAGAGAGAGAGAGAAAGGAAAGTAAAATTAATTTCTAAAGTTTCTTCCTTAATTCTCTCTTATTTTAATTTCCGTTCTAAGATTTAAGAGAGTAATATGTCTATATTTGTAATATTTATGTATATGTACATATATGTATAATATAATTACGTATATGCATGCGTATGTTCGATTTATCGGTTAATTGTACACCGTGTGTACCGTGCACGGACTTTTGAAAAATATTTTGAGCTATCCGTGCAAATTTCTTTCCCCTTCTTTTCAATCCGATCTCTTTTTTTTTTGTTCTTTTCCTTGATATATTTTCCATCGATCCTTTTTTAGTGCGTGCGCGACCAAGCGCGAGATTCCGATTGCGAGGAAAGGCCTCAAAAAGGTCGTTGCGGTTGGTCCCCTCTTCGAGTTCTCTCGACAATGTGCGTCGCCGGAAACGAGAAAAGCGAAAGGAGACGAGAGAAATTCATTGCTCGATTTAAAAAAATTATCGCCTTGAAACTTGTTGAGTGTAGTAACGTAATTAAATTGCAGTATAATGATGCAGAATAATTATGTAATATAGTGTTATTAAATAACAAAATAAAATTTGTGTTGTGCAAGTGCAATCAATATTATTAACTTGTGCTATTGATATAAAAATGATTCCATCTGTGGATCGCGTTTGTAATAATATAAATATTGTATTTCTATCTTATTACATTACTTAGCGTTTACCAATTTTTGACATTGAAATCTTCGAAAATTCAATTTATAGATACATTCAATGTTTAAATTTTTAAAATTCTTCTTGAAGATTTTTTACATTAAAAGTTCACAACATAAGTTTAATAACCTATACGTCAGATATTTTTATGAAATCGCGAATTTTAACGAATCATGCAGTGTTGAAATGGCAATCGACACTGGAGATTTCAATGCCTGTATAAACATGAACTCGAAATAATTTAAATTGCGCAAATATATTGAATCTCAAGTCTAGAGTAGATTTGTTTTTTAATTCTTATTTTAGCGTCAGTAATATGAGTATAATATTATAACCGTGTAACGCGAAATAATGCTGAGATTATCACGGTTCGTTTTACAATGGTATGAAAATTAGGACGAGAGCCACTCGGCGCGAATTACGGTTACGATCCAATAAATTCGCTAAACGGCGCAAAAGATCGTAAAGTCGAGAAATGAAAGGATCCGTCTGTGGCAATTGGCGAAGAAGGCACGTGTTAATGCACGCTCTCTAGAAACGTAGAAAAAAAAACGCGTTGTGTTCCAATTACGTGCCGATATATATCGGTGTAGAGCGGGGCCATTTTAACGCCGCCGTAAGATCAGCCGTATATATTCCGTGACGACACACACACGTTTCTCCGTAAATCAATCACGCTCCAATTCCTCCAAGCGGAGTGATCTCCTCTCCCAGCAGTCTCAGCGCGTTAAACGCATCCCTCCGACCTCCCTCCTCCGTTCGGAGGAGAGCTCCTCTCTCCTTGCCCTTTGGAGAACGTGGAGAACGTGGTGAACGCGTGCTGCAATCTGGTGACTTCAATACAAAGCGTTTGAATTGTTTGAATCTTGGACGAACGCTGTTTACCGTCGATAGAAATTTTCTATAAAAATAATTTCTCTTCTATTTTCTATCTAATGTTTTCATTGATGATTACTTAAATTCAGTTTTCTATTAAAATCGGCTGTTCAGATTTAGAAATCTTTTTCTTTATTTACATATGCGTTCACCTGTGAATAACTGAATTCGCGGGAAATTGGGGATGGAAAATGGAGTTAAAATGTAAAAAGTGTGCGCGCGCGAGAGAGAGATAGAAGTTTAGTTTATATTTATTTACAAATTCGAAAACTTCCGCTTTCTTCGTACAATGATACATTAAGAAAGTGAATGCAAAATTTGCAGAGTAGAATACTAAACATCATTAATGACATTACTCTACTTGCTTACTCATTTCATCCTTCCATTATATTATCTCGAGGAATCGAGAATTTTCAAATTTGCTTACTAGTATTCTTTAGCTATTGCTTGAAGTTTTAATTAAATATTATCGCACAGAGAGTAGAAATAAGAGATAATTGACACGGTAAGTGATTTAATAAGCGTGTTTCTTTACGTTCGATGTCCTTAGTGCAAAGCAGGAGGTGTACCGGAAGGCTCGCTGAAATAGAAAAAAATAAACATGTCAGTTCAAATCACTTCAGTGTTAATGCTTGTATTATTAATATCTATAATATGATCAACTTTTGTTTGAATATATTCAAATAATATGCATTCATGAAATAAATGCTTTCGAGAATGCATTAGAAAAACAGCCTTACCATATTGCAATGTTGAAAGGCAAACAAGAGTCCGATAGTTTATCGTACGAGAGTCCCGGTGAACATTCTATCACTTCAGGTTGGCTGTGCCTACAAACTACCACCTTAGTGCAAAAGTCATTGAGTTTGTATACGTCGCCATCACGGCACGGGGTCGTCTTTAATTCGGATGGTATAGTTTGGAGCAGGGTCGTCCACTGATTCGGCAAACTTGAAGTTTCCACCGCGTCATGCGCGGGCTGATTATCTAATGCTGGACTGTCGGTTGATTCTTCTTGTGTCTCCTTGTCGATCTCCAGTTGGTTCGCTAGGTTTCGCTGGTGCCAGGGATCGGACTTGCCCTTGTTCCAGGGATTCCCGTACGAAGGAGGCGGTGATGGATAAGGCTGCGGCTGATAGCCCGGTGGTTTAGGGGGATATGTTGACGGTTGTGGCGCATAAGTCGGAGGTTGCGGAGTGTAAGTCGGTGGTTGAGGCTGGTGAGTCGATGGTTGAGGCTGGTAAGTCGGCGGTTGAGGCTGATAGGTCGGTGGTTGAGGCTGATAAGTCGGCGGTTGAGGCTGATAGGTCGGTGGTTGAGGCTGGTAAGTCGGCGGTTGAGGCTGATAAGTCGGTGGTTGAGGCTGATAGGTCGGTGGCTGAGGTGGATAAGTCGACGGTTTAGGGGGAGCAGTGGGCGGCTTGGTTATAGGGGCATAGGTGGAAGATTGCTGCGGAGAAGAAGGTTGCGGAGAAGATTGAGTCGGCGGAGATTGTGTAGGCTTCAATGGTTTCGGCGTGGCCGTGCCTTTGCAGTCCACGTTATATTGATAGTCGCAGACATTCAGTACCTGGAAGATATAATCCTAATTGAAACTTATGTAATTACTACATATATGTGTAATACTAATTTTAGTAATTTTTTTGTAGTAAAATTAAAAATCGATGAAAATTGATAATGGCTCAATATAATCCTCTGTTTATAAAAATTCATATAAAATATATTTTACGTAAATTAAAATTCATAAATGATAGAGTAAACAAGAAGGTAGAAAGCGAGATTTCGCAAAATTTATTTTAAGCAGCATCGAGCATATTGCTGCGCCACTCCGCGACTTAAAAAATAGATGAACGTTTTTGCGTTGCGTATTTCAGAATGAATCCTTACGTCACTGTAGACCAGACCGAGAGGACAGTAGAATTTTACGGGCTTGCCCGCGGCACATACGTAGAATTCCGAACAGTTGCTCGCGCTTCTGTAACGTCCGTTCGGATCCGGGCATAGCTTCGATCCCGCCGGCAATGGTGGTTCTGTCAAGTAACATAATTATTTTTTCTTCTATTCTCTTTACTCATATTTTTCAGAGTCGATAATAATTCGATTTTAGCGGTTTTTATCAATAATTAAAAAAAAAGATAAATATTTTTAGTCTTAATGATCTCTTTAGATTCTTAAAATAATAATTTTAATGATTTTTATCAATAATTTAAAAAAAGAAAAATATTTTGATTCTTAAAGATCTCTTTAGATTCTTAAAAATTTAAAAAGATCATTAAGAATTAAAATATTTCTCTTTTTTTTAAAGAATCTAAAGAGATCATTAAAAATCAAAATATTTCTCTCTTTTTTAAAATTATACAAATCACTAAAATTATTATCACTACAGGAGAACATTGATATTATTTTTCCGTTGCTTCTTATCGGCTCTTTCAAACCAATCGTACTTTAAGTCTTGCCGATCAAAATCGCGATTAGGAAATAATCGAATTAGTCATCGCGATTACCATCGCAAACTGTGAGCGGGCAATTCGCGCCGCGTGATTATCGATCACACTCACTCGCCGTAGCGGGCTGTCGTTCACCGCAGTTGACGTTGTACGCGAAGTCGCAGTAACCGGCGACGTCGTTGAAGAGTAGCCCGGCCGGGCAGGTCTGCTCGATCACCACGTCGTCCCAGCAATTTAGATAGTCGGCGCAGCTCTTCGGGCTCGAGTACTGGCCCCTCGGCCCCAGGCAGCCCGGCGGGGGTTTATACGGCGGCGGTGCCGGTTGCTCAGGTGGTGAAATGGGATTCGGAAGCTCGTTTGTGTCGCCCGGATTGCTCGGAAGTCCCGGATACTGTCTGGCGCTGTTAAGAACGATTCTGTTTCCCGACGTGTCGTTTTTCCAGATTCCCGCACGAACATTCAGCCTGTGGCTGTCAAAGTTGCTCCACAGTGTGGAGTCCAGTTCTGAAATTCAATGTTGGTTGTTCTGATCCGCGAGATACTGATCTGCTGTCATCGAAGATAACGATGGTTTAATGTTGTATCAGCTCGCGTACATTAAGAATTGATAATTAATAATAAAGAGTTAATAATAGCAACAGTTTTATTTAGGATTAAAAATAATAGAAGAAATGAAAGTAATTAACTTATCTGTTATTTTACGAATTGACTTGTAAAAGCAATACTGATTATAAATTTTGCAGAACTGTGTGTGAAAAAACGGATTATATCTATAATTATTGTAACTGATGACAGCTAAAAGACATAACTGATATATAATTTATTTTTTACGCAAATATATTTTTTGCGCAATCTATAAAAATTAAAATGTTTTCTAATTAAATATTCCATTGAAATATAGAAAATATAATATAACACATCAAATAGAATATAACAATTTAAAAAATATTACATACTTAAAAAATTAGAGCGTTTTTTAAATTTATACGTTTGGTGCATTTTTGTCGTCTAAGTCAATTTACATGTATATGTGTATTATCTAAGTTTATTGCTATAATTTTTTTTGCAATTGTTACTAGTCGTTTACAGAAATTTCTCGCAAAACTCTAGAGTCGCAACCCTGCAGCCGTTGATACTGACCTTCGGGTTGTCCAGCGAAGGCGAGCTGTCTATCGACGAGCGACTTCGTCGTTGTAAATCTGTCTCTCCTTCTAGCCGCATCACCGAGTCCCAGGGCAAGGACCACAAGAACCGATATCACGTACACTCTCATCTTTTCCCCCGTTGAACTTCTAATTTTTCTTCCCTTTGTCTCTCTCTTTCTCTCTCTCTTCTTCACCGACGACAGTTGTCAGGGGTCAGCGCCCTCCACCAGAGCGAAGATCGCTCTTCTCAAAGGCCGAGATAATTCTTTTTCGCGGGCGAAAAACTGAACTGGTTGACAATCGACACCCGACAATCCCCGAGGTGGCGCGAATCCAGACGCACGGTGTCCTGATGCTGGATGGGCTGGACCTGATCGCTTCCAGGGCCTTACATAGGGCGGCCCCCACCGCCGGCTCCTCCGTAGGGTCCGCAGGACCTCAATTACGCGGCGGTGCGGCCGCGTAGGACCCTCTTCTTGTTGCGCAGGAAGTGCTCGCGACCGTTGCGTTTCGCACCGATTCGTTCGTCCTCCACCTCTTCTTTTTCTCCGAGAATCTCCCTCCTCCACTTCTTACCCGTGGTTCCGAGGACTCCCCATTGGACGAGATTTAGGATGCACCCGAAGGATGCGTGCACGCTCATGGTGATCATTCGTTCTGTCCGAGCTGTTCGTCTCTTCTTACCTTTTCTTTTCCTTTTTGGCCGATTTTCAAGGGGTTGCGGCGTCGGATATTGTATATATACCGGACGAATTTAGGACTTTAACCCTTTCGTGTCGTGTATGTTAAATTCATTAAAACGTGCGTTCCAAAGACTCTCGACCGAGGTTTTAAAACTTTCATCCTGAATATATCGTCCCGGTAGATTCAACGAAATTAAGAACAGTTTAGTGGCTGCCTTGTTGATAGCTGTTTTTTCTTAATTTACCGATTCTTAAAAAGAAAAAACAGGAACACATTGAGCGAAATTAAGTTTCTTGCCGGCAATTTTAGGGTTACCTTATTATTGGCTTTAATTATTGATGGCAGATTAATCTGGTCTACTAACAAAATCGAAAGCTTTAAGCGCAAGTTCGAGTTGCGCGCGTTTCTGATCGATTCTGCTTCCTAGAATTTTGCTACATAACGATGCGTTAATAAGCGCATCGTCAGGAAGATTTATCGCGCATGATTCAGCAAATATTTTTTTAGAACTTACTTTTTTTGTAAAATGGATCATCTTATTTAAAATATTGTATTTCCATTCTTTTTTTTTAACATAAATGTTCCTTGTAAATAAAAGAGTTATTTATAAGAAGCCAAAAAGATATGTTCTAAATAATCGAATAAAGGATTTCATAAGAATTACTTCTCGAATAGCGTATCAATTTCCGCGAGAGTCGAGAAACGTTCACGAATTTGCGTGACGACATCGGCGATTTTGCCATTTATGGGGCTTCCTGTTTGACCAAGACGGTGTCCCGCGGCTTCAGGAAGATGAGGAAAAAATTCCACACCTGCGGGAAAGAGAGACGGAGGGAGGGGAAAGGACCTCGGGCATCGGTATGCAAAGGTGGACGCACTCTCGAGAGGACTCGTTACGCATTTCGTTACCCGAAAGTGTTTCGCGAGTGGGTCCTGCGTTGGAGGCTGCGAGAGCGCGGACCGGGCCGTACGTAGGAGGCCTATCATCGTCCGCCGAGCGGGGGAAGGGGAGGAGAAGGCTCATCGTCCTTTTTATTATCGTTCGGATAAGAGATTCGGCGATCCCGGGCAATAAGGAAGAATCCGGTCGGCGCGAACGATACGGCCGAAAAAGAGGAGGAAGAGGACGATTCCGCATCGACGTAATCCTGGAATTCGTCGGGTTTTCGATTCCCCCCCTCCCTACGGTCCTTGAATCTCGCGTCGTAATCTTGAGTCACTCGCGATGACCTCGCCGTTGCGTTTTTTCAACGTGTCCTCTCCGTCGGGTGACGTGATATGTCGTCGGCGAGATCTGCGATATTTAAGGACACGCGTAATCGGGCGTATCTTTTTTTGCATGCAAAACGTCGGGATTTTTTTGAAGACGGGGAGGGAAAAGAGAAACTTTAATCTGACTTGATGGAATCTTAATCATCTTACGAATATTGTGATTAGAATAATGTTGTTTAGGCAGACAGTTATAAATACAATTTATCTTATATATACCTTATAACAGAATAATAGCTTAATTTAATTCAGTTTTTAATTCACATTTTAAAAAATTTTAATTTTTTACCAATATAATTATTTACAAAATACTGTTTGATTATATTTTATAATTTCTTACGTTTAAAGATTAGGGAAAGTTATATTTTTAAAAAATTTATATTATATACTCTTTTCCATGTTTTGTCTATTCGACAACAAAAAAGTTTCTATCTCTTTTATTTTTTACCTTACAGCACATTTTTAACTTTGTATTTGAATCAATATACAATAACTTGTGAGAAAATATTTAAACTAGTAAAAACTTAAATGTTTTTAACTTATTATGCGTACAATGCAGCCATTTGTAAATGTAATACAATAGGATTTATAAAATAGATGGAACATTAATAAGATTAGGATTTCTCGCACAATAGCCGCTCGCAAATAAAGACGTGGTGACCTTCCGATCAAGGTATCGCGGGAGTGACATCCAAGATAATCCTCCCCGTCTAATCTTAGCAGTTGACATTTATATCGAGCGTTCGACAAAGCCGTCGTTTCTTCGCCGTCATCGTCGTCGTCGTCATCCGTGTCCGGTCGAGTCCTTGTCGTTGTTTTAACTCGAGCGGCGCGGCGGCTCGCTTAGACCTTAGACCGCAGGCCGAGAAGCTGCAGGGGGATCTAGGATGGAATGCCGACAGGAGAGAGAAACGAGACGGGAATCCCGCTTGCTGGACCGCGAGATCGGCTCAGGGAGAATGGAAGGAGCTAACCCTTAGATGCATAGAAAGTGCGACGAATGAGAGACGAGTCATAAACTGCATAAACGAAACGAGTTATAAATTCTAGAAACGTGCTCTCGCATCTCTACTGTTTAGTTATGATCTCTAGTGAAACTATAGTTTTGCTGATTAGAAAAAAATTAGAATATACATATATTTTTTTAATAATTTTGATATTTAAATTAAATGTCCCTATACTTTGCGATTTAATTATTACATGATCTTTAGTTATACAACAGCATAATTTTATCGATATTATTTCTTTCCTTAATAATGCCATAAATATTGCTGTTGAATATTAAAGACGTTTGAGTTCGATAAACCTGTAAATTATTTTCGCTCTTGTCGTATGTTATCGATGGTGCAACAATGTTTTTTGTACGCGATGCTGAATCGAATACTAAATCGTATAATAAATTCAAAGTGGCTTACACGGCATGCCACTTAGGTCCAAATACGAGGGCGATATCTTTGCCGAGAGCACGCCAATATCTTGTCGAGGCTACCTATACCTTTGCGTGAATCTTTTTAAGTAGCAATAATAAAAGTACAACAAATTTTTTTTTTAGATTTCTGTTTGTTTAATTAAATTAATTTTTCATTTTAGAGATTTTCATTTTTTAATTGCAAACATTTCAAATATTTATCTATCTAATTGAAAGAATTTTATTATGAAACAAACAGGAAACAAGAATTTAATACTTTGATTTAATACTTTACTCCATATTTACTACATATCTATATTATATAAAGCTTATTTAACAGAAAAATATAAATTAATGTTTGCAGAAGACTATCAGATATTTGGCGTTACCAACGAGACAAAGTTGCGAGGTGTATCGGTCTTCTCGAGGCAGCAAGTTTTCCATGCGTTCGGCGCAGTAGGGAGCGAATAAATTTAAACCTTCTAGAAGCAAAATAATTTTATGGCCGCGTAGAAGCAAATCTGGCGAACGCGCTAGCCTGGAGAACGCTGGGAATATTATTCCCTGTACCTGTCGTCCGTAATAGATGGGTTTTGATGCTTTCACCTAACAATTTTAATTTATTAATACAAGTATAGGATACATGCGGTACATTTTAATTAATACAATATCAAGACTACTGCAATACGTATTAACGTCAATTTTTTCGGCCGCACATTGTTTCTCTTAGCGAAGGACATTTCATTTCTGACTCGTCCGAAGGAATGCTTCGCTTTTAACAAATCCAAGGTGTACGTTCCACGAACTTTTCGACGCCCGTCAGGCGTTTCCACGAAAGCAGCAAAAGGAAGGGATTCTCTTTCCTGAATCTTGCTTAAGTCTTCGAATTAAAGCTTTGTCCCGCGCGCTCGCTGCGCGCGTTCCGTTTGCGCAATGGAACTCGAAAAACAGGTTTGGGAAACGTCGTGTATTAAGGCACAGGAACCATCCGAGGCGAACGTTAAAAATGCAGGCGCCGCGCGTTGATACCGTAATGCTCATTCGAATTCATTTCGGGCGTATCGGCACGTCGCGTCGCGTCGCGCCGCGCGGCGCAGGTCACGAAGTGCACGCGCGCGCGCTGCTTTGAAGAACGCGTACGTCTGACGTAGGTGGTCCGTTTGTTACTCTTTACGTGTTTCACATAATTTAGCGCTGAATGATAGAGCGAGGCCCGGAGGGTTATAAGCACTTAGCGCAATCGCCCCGGGCGCGATAACTTCTTCCAACGGTGTTATTACTATCGAAGCGTAAGACGCGCGTTGCCGGGCGCAACACCGATTACCCCCAATTACATTCGCATTACTTTTATGGACCTCTCGACAGTAATAATGAAGGGCAAAAGATCCCTCGCGTAATTATCATTTAATTTCAAATCTTGAATCTTCTTGCTCGAAGCGAATCTTCTTCCCCTTATCTTCCCGAGGACGTTAAAATGAAGTTACACAAATATTATAGATTAACCAAAATCTTTCACTTAAAATACTTTAAGTCAACGTGTTGGTGTCTTATCGTATCTGTGGACGCTGTAATATAATTCAAACTTTTTTCTATACAATTCATGTAGAGATAATTGAAGAATGCGTTATGAAAGTCATGATATATTTTTATTCTATTTTAATTTTATTATTTTATAAGCAAATTTTATTGGAAAAAATTGTTTGAAATCTTGCAAAAGACAGCAGGCAAAGGGTTGATTTCGTCTGCTATATTTCGGGGTGTCGGGGCATTGTAATGAGAGAAAAACAGATGTAAAAGCTGGAAAGATCGTTCATTCTTTCACTTGTTCACATTCAGTTTTTTTTGTTGAATAATGTCGGTCTACAATGACGTCAAAATTCGTTCGGGGCCTAAAGCGGAGGGTCGAGTTTGCATAAATAACACGCGCGGGCAAAAACGAGCGGCAGATTGCAGAATCGATAAACATCGCCTGTGGGTGGATGTAAGAGATAAATTCGCGA